TCACATATTATAAAGCAAGAAAGATTTATTATACTTTTGAAAACAACTTCAGTTGAACAATGCTCCAAAGGAAATCATTTTTGGGGCATGGACGGTAGAGAGAATGAGCATGGAAATTACAAAAAGAATCAATAATTTTTGAATATCTTGAATATAACTTCAGGTCTCAAGTTGTTGTGATATTTCTTTATGCAAATTGTAAAAAATACATGAGATTCATCTATCTGTTAGGTTAAATGGCTAGAAAAGCAATTTAGGAATACGCAAAGGATATACATTTAGGGACTATTGAATTAGTTAAGATTTCCAGCTCAGAGAATGCAGACGGACACAAATCCCTCAATACCTTTGTCATTTGATATTCACTTGTTTGTAAATTTTGATTAGGGTATGACTCTTCAGGTTTCCTTAAATGCAAGAATTAAAACTCATCCAAGAGGATGATAAGGCTTTTGCCAATAACTCTCTAACCATCTGACAGGAGGCAATTTTCACTCTTCCTTCTTGTGAAGACATCCCTGGGCCTTCACTCCTCCTGGCAGTTCGGCTGAGATCAAGGAATTCACAGTGTGTGGAGTCACACCTTCTGTGACACATTGAGTATCACACTTGTTGAGGCACAGCACAATAGTACAATTAAGCCTCTCCCTCCTAATATGCCCCAGTTCTGATGAAGGGTCATGGACCTGAAACGTTGACTCACTTTCCTTTCTCCATAGATGCTGTCTGACCTGCTGAGTGTTCCCAGCGACTTCTGTTTTTATTACAATAGTATAGTTTCCTGGGTCCTTCACTGTCCTGAATATTTTGTTGCTTTGTAAATCAATGTACATTTTTGGTCAGCCGGGTGTCTGACACAATGCAGAAACCTATCATCATGCTTAAGAGCGTCAATTCTGACTGGGAGTTTCATATAGGTATTGTCAACTACACATGGAAATTTCTGCATGTCTGGAATGGAGCCCACATCCACTCCCTCAAGGGATAGTAACAGTAATTGTATTATCCACTGTTAATGGTTATGAACTTTTAACATTATAATTCAGTGCCATTAATGCTGTGGAACCAAAGAATGGGATGAAAGACTCCCAAACCTTGATGATTAGAAAAGGGAAAGAAAGCAAGCACTTCAAGAATGTTATTTATTCAACCAAACTTAATGATACCCAATAATATTTTTGGCATAACATATGCTAATTTTTGGCCAGGAGATTTGCAAAGAACCAAATATAAAACTACAGTTCTTAATAAAATAATACTGTCATGTATGACTGCCAGGTCAGATCCATAGTGATGACAGCCTTGAGACTTCCATAAACTCTTAGGTCTAGTCTGTCCATTGCTTCAGTTTTTATAAAACTTGGAATAGTGATTTTCCAGCATTTAGTCACAATTACAAATGCACTCATTTCCCATCAGCAATTACACTCAAGAATCCCTTAAGCCTTCCATCACAAACAATTCCAATCTGCAGCCAACAGAAATTAGGACTAGAATCAGCTGTACCATATTTCTATTTTGCAACCTTCACTGTTCAAATTTAGTTCTGTGATACAGAAACAAAGTTGTTGGCCAGGATTTTGGGAGAAACTCCCTTCTGCTTTTGAGTAGTGTCATGGAAACTTTAACATTCACTTGAACAATCTCAGTTTAACATCTTTCCGAAGGACAGCACTTGCAATGCAGCGATCTCACAGCACCGCACAGTAGTGTTGGCCTGGACTATGAACTCAAAGTTTCAACCTGTGGCCTGAGCCTGCAATCTTCTGACTCAGAGGAAAGAGTGCTACTAACTGATCTGGCTGCAACAACAACAACTGTATCTTGCATCTTTGCCTTTCACTTAGGGTAACTTCTCGGATTGCTTTCATCTCTGGAGAGAAATGTTCTAACCCGTCCAAGCTTTCTTGATAACTATTCACTAATTTCTAAATTAGCGCTGTGCTCTCGCCAATGCTATAATATCCTTCCTGAAATAACCAGAGCTGCACGCAGAACTTCAAATGTGGTTTTCTATAAATTTAACATTTCTTCCCTGCATGTGTACTCTATTCCTATGGACATAAAAAATGATTTGCATTATTCATGTCTTTGCCCACCTGTGCTTCTACTTTTTGAATCCTGTGAATCGTAAACTCTAGAGCCCTTTGTTTATCTAGCCCTCTTAGGTTCCTACCATCCAGGGAATAGTCAGGTGCTTTATTCTTCCTGCCAAAGTACAATCTCTGCATTTCCAAACTTAAACTTAATAACAGCATTATTAACCTCTCCTCCAACCCTGAGGAGATGTTCCCATTTTACTACAGAAACTCATCTGTGACCAGTAAAAAAAACAACAGTAACCCCTTAAGGCTGTGTAGATAATGTTTTGCTCAAGATTTCAAAAATAAATATTGTAGTCATCCTGCTTTGAAACTTCTTGATATATTTGCAATGGTAATTTTGCCAATGTAAGAATTCAGTAAACGTAAAATGTAAAAAAAAAGTTCATATTGATGCATCATTGTGGTCACCTGAAAGCCTTGGCAATGAAACCCAAAAATAATAGAGAAACTATTATTTCTCTATTATCTGAAATAAATCCATCTCCTCACAGTCAGAGATTGAGGAGAGAATGGGCAAGGCGGTGGGAGAGTGGATGGATGATTTGGTTGGTGGTGGAGAATAGGAGCTTGGGGTTGTCCTTCGCCTCCAAGATTATCTTGGAGCAGAAGGATGATTTGGCGGAGGTGAGGACGGAGCGGTACATTTTTGATGTGATCCAGCCAGATCTGCCGGTGGACTGTTAGATCAGAATTAAGCCAGGTGCGTTCGGCTTGAGGGAGCGGAGGTGGTTGGTGTACCAGGGTGAGGTTTGTGAGTAGGATGCGATTCGGGAGGTGATGGGGTCAAGGGCATCAAGAGTGGTGGAGAGGGAGTTGTGGAGGAGAGTGAGCAAGGAGAATAAATCACTATGGGAGGTCGGTCAGAGGGGGAGGAGTTCAGATGACTCCAGGGCAGCAGAGAGGGATTGCGGGAAGATTTTTTTCCAGGAAAATAAGAAAAGAAGAGAAGTCTTAATTAAGAAAGGAAGTTTTAATTCAGCTTCGAAGATGTAAAATCTAAACCTGGGAAGTATAGGCTGCTCTGGTGTTAATGTTTCTTTGGATTTCCCTCCTCATTTCTTTTAGAGGAGGTGCCGGGTCTCCACTATGTACTGTGCTTCAAAGCTAGAAGTCATTAGTGTAGCCACATATCCCACTATATTGTGGTGTCACACTTCAAAACTCTAACATGCAGTGCCATTAAGTTGACCGTGTTTTACATATCTTTCTATAATTTGAGAGACATGTTCCCTCACAATCCTGTCATATGTGCTTTTTTTTATATAGTTTTCTGCTCTCAAAATCTTTCCTGGTTCATGCACCCAAGCACAATGATAGGTTTCAGCATGTGTCACACACTCAACTGACAACAAAAAGGGTGAAAGATTGAGGAACTATGTTCTTAATCAGTACACAAACAGTCTTTAAATCATTATTCAAGCAACTTCCGTAAAAAGTCATATTTTCAGGAAAAAGAACAAATGGACCCTTTTGACAAAGAATGTATGTTAAATTCTAAGTCTTTGCCTTTTCTAAATATATAAATTGCACTGCAGATCCCATTCAATAGCAATCGGAGTCAAGACCCATGAGTACTTCAACATTTTACACCACATTCTAATCCCATTTCAATCTCTGTGAGCACCATCTACCAGCGAGCTCTGCAAATCTATTTAACCATGGACCACATACTGTATACTGTATGAAAATAATTAAATGTAACCTATACAATAATACAATGGTCCTGTGTGTGCCTGCATTAGAATACCACCTGCATGCAAGCCCTGATTCATGGTTCAAAGTAAATATTGTCTCAGAGAATACGATGATCACCTTTATGACTGCTACACTTCTAGGATGCAGCCAATAACAATCTTCCATATTTCAGCTTTTCAATTGCTATAAAACCAAAACCTAAAGACAGTTTGCAGCCAATGAAAAAACATGTTTTACCCATACTAATTCTCCCAATGGGAGTTGGAAAAAAGGAAGATGAAACAAAACTTTTTGATTCGTTCAAAATTTTAAATAATTAGAAAAAAGTTTTCAAAAGATCAAAATAGGAAAAAAAAACTAAAATTGTTTTTTCTCTTTGTGATAAGGGATTGAAAATCATAAAACCATAAAACAAACTTTCAATTAAATGATAAACTATTCTTAATCTCATTGTAAAACATCAAACACGGAGAGTTAATCTAGCAGAACATATATTTGCTAAGTATTTTATTTGGAGATTTTATGAGATCTAATGAAAGATTGAAAATTAAATCCTCAGCAAATTTAAGAGGCTATAAAACAGACTTTGTTTTGTATGGGAAGACTCTATTTGTAACTTAGTGTTTCCCCTTTTCTTTAGTCTTTTAGGACCATATCCCAATGGTGGGTAAGAAGATTGGTGGGAAAATTAGTGTGAGGCATCCACCAATGCTACACTTGGACTGCTACACGGTGGATTGAGTAGACCTGGGCAATAGGACTATCATTCCTGTTTCACTACTCTCCCATGAATGTAGGACATCAGTTGGCCTGAGTCTGTGTTTGCTCTCTGTAGTATGATTGAAATGTAGAACTGAGTTATGTGAACAAGTCATGGGATTGAATTCACATCTGTCACACTTTGGTGTGTGTTGCTTCTCCAACCTCGGTCACACAGAAGTACTCTTCAGGTAGACATTTAGTCTGGCTAATGATATTATAAATCTGGCAGTTTAGGAAGAATGTTTGTCGCCAGAGTTATGTAACTGAATCAATTATTTCAATGGTTATATGCTTTATATACATCTAAAGACAGTAAGAATCTCCAGATTATTTATAAAACCTAACATATCAGTACAGTTATCCTTTTGAAATTTGTCCAAATTAATCAATTTCCACTGTAGAGTTAGGCATCTCAAAATGTGAAATGATATTACTTACTGTTTCTGGGTTTCTCTTCTTCCATTCCCTCATCTTCATTTTCTGGATCTATGTCTTCAGCTTGAGTAATCCAGTCCAAGTATCCCTTTAGATCCTCCTCTAATTGTTGTTTCTCTCTTAGTTTCTGAAAATCACCACGAGCCTTGGCCTTCTCTCTCTCTTTGGAAAACTCTCTGTCTCCCCAAAAATACAAAACATATATTTTAGGCCACAGGTCCACATACAAATGGTTAGAACTGTTAGTACAAACTTTTTGTTCTGTACAAACACCACCCCCCTGATCCCACTAAGAATCCATATACCATATACAGATATATATAGAAATGACTTGGATGAGGAAGTAGAGTTTTATATCTAAATTTGCAGATGACACAAAGTTAGGAGGCACAGTAAATTGTATAGATGGGAGCAGGAAATTACAAAGGTACGTAGACTGATTAAGTGAGTGGGAAAAACTGTGGCAGATGAAGTTCAATGTGGGGAAGTGAGAAACTAAGAACTCTGGAGATGCAAAGCGATTTTGGTGTCCACATACACAAATCACTAAAAACATGTTCGCAGGTTAAAAAAAAATGATCAAAAAGGCTAATGGGATGTTGGCCCTTATCTCAAGGGGGCTAGAATATAAAGGAGAGGAAATGATGCTTCAACTATATACAGCCTTGGTCAAACCCCATCTGGAGACCTGCATTCAGTTTTGGGCACCCCACCTCAGGAGGATATATTCGCCCTCGAGGTGCAGATTCACCAGAATGATACCACACTTAAAAGGGTTAAATTACGAGAACAGGTTTCATAAACTTGGGTCTCTATTCCATTGAGTTTAGAAGATTGAGGAGTGATATCATCGAGATTTTTAAAATAATAAAGGGATTCGACAGGGTAGCTTCAGAGAAACTATTTCCTCTGATTAGAGAATCCAGAAAAAGAGGCAGAATCTTAAAATTAGAGACAGGCTATTTAGACGTGAAATTAGGAGACAGTTTTTCCACACGAAAGTTAGTGGAAATCTGGAACTCTCTCCCCAAAAGACTATGGATGATGGATCCATTCACATTTTCAAGACTGAGGTGAATAGATTTCTGTTAGGTTAGGGTATCAAGGGATATGGGGCAATTGGTGGGTAATTGGAGTTGAGGTACAGATTAGCCATGATCTTATAGAATGGTGGAATAGGCTCAAGGGACTGCATGGCCTACTCCTGTTCCTATGTTCCTATATTAATCCATAAAGTAGGATCATCATATCAGAGCAAACATCAACCAAATTTTAACTTCCATTCAAAGGAGCTTTTACCATTCCCATGAATCCACAATAATGAGGTTTACCCAATCCTCCACGGTTGTATTGCAATTGCAAGCTTCAAATTATGGGGTGGTGGCTTCTCAGCAGTTTAAATGCATCTCAATTTAATTATAATAAAATCTATGATAAATTTTGTAATTATCGGGTATTCACTCCTCAGCAATTTAAAAGTACCTTGAGATTGAATTATATTCTGATGGAAGTACCAGTTATTTTTATTGTTTATTGAACAGTGTACAGATACTTGGTAGAGGAGGCTTGGCATAGATGAATGACTAGTGACACATTTAACCTGATGGCGCATACCATCATATAACAAGCACTACAAGGTATTCTCAGTTGCAGTTCTCCAGTGAATGAACAATTCCATGCACATGGTACTTAGAATACACGACAGGTTGAAATGTGTACTAATTCATTACACTCCAATTTTACATGACTAAACTATTTTACTTCATTGCCATAGTTTACTGTACACTGAGAGGTAATTCATTTTTCTGCAGGTTTTTCATTGAGTTTATTTTCTGTGATTGTTGAGATTTTCTATGTGACTCCACATCATATGAAATATGAAAATATGATCAGGAAAATATGGTAATCCTGGACGAGGAATTTAATAGCAAAAAACGTGTGGTTTACTGCAAAATAAAGCATGATGTTCTGCAGAGGTCTAACTCTAAAGCATTTTACACTCTGTTTGATGCAGTGTAACAACAGTTTTACAGAAGTTTTAAACTCCTGCAATATATTAACAATAGTACTGCATCAAAATTGACTAAACCCGTTCCTCCACAGATCTGTAATCTTGGTCTCTTGTTGACAGACATTCATGAGTTAGCAGTGCAATCCTGGGAGTCCCTCATCCTTCCACATCTGTGTCAAGTAAACCTGCAAATGGTATAGGAGCCAAGGTTTTTTGACTTATTCTTTCCTCTGATAATACTTTGGTTTGAATTAAGAGTGAACATCAAATCTCATTTCTTCTGTTCAAAAAACTATCCATAGCTCCCAGGAATCAAGAGGCATATTGCAGTTCTTCTTTAAATTCTTTCTTCTGTTCATCTTCAATTGAAAATATAAAATCTTCTTTGCCAAATTATCCTCTGACAGTTTGACTGCATGTCCACTCCACCTGAGCTGTGCTTAAACCTGAATGGCTTCTAAACCAGCTTTTTCTGTTATGCTAAGAACTTAAGCATTTGTGTTGGCATTGTTTGGGATATTCGCGATGAGCTGAAGACAGTGCAGGCAGAACTTGAGAAGGTTCACTGCCAGTTCACAATCCAGCCTTCACAAATATGATAGTGGTTAACACAAGTCCTTCATGCACCTGTAGCTTTGTTTTTTTCCTTCAGTCCATTAATTATTATTCATGATGATAATTTATACCAATCTCGACATATGTTATTACTAAAACTCACATACTAAAACTGTCCAGATTTTTTTTTAAAAAGTCATAAAAGGATAAATGAATATATTTCCCAAAATTATCACGATAAGGTTTTGCTACAGTTTTGGAAGGAGAAGAATATCCAAGTTTATCTGTTTTTATTTTAATTCACAAAATTGTGTCTTGTTTATTCACTGCAATGTCAATGGCCTGAAGAATTTAACTATGAGTAAACCTTAATGAGCAGATCATTCCATTGATGTAGAAATGACTAGCAGTAAAGATATGATGAATTGATACTATTCACATAGTGCACCATGTCCTCGAATTAATAAAAGTTATTAATTGTATCTCATTTAATCCATTGCCAGACCTGAGACCAATTTCTTACTCTGGTCAGCCCCAGGAAATGCCTCAGTTAGTGCTACAAATATGAAGTATTTTACTCATTTGCTTCCATCCTTGTCCAACTTTCTACTTCTGTTCTCACTGGAACTTCAATTATAAATACTGTATATTTTAATATTGACAGTTTGGATAGGATATATCTGTGGTAAGATTCACATTCTGGCACTGATTGAAATTATTTTTATTCTTATAATAAAAATCTCAAAAGGACAGGCAGCTTGGAACTTTAACTGGCTCCCAGACAATTTGTTAAAATATATGGTTTTTGTACTTGTGTCTGCCCATCATTTTTTATTTTAATCCCTATTAATGGGAATTACAAGATGACAAGCAATATTTTCTCAACAGAGGCAAAAACCACTTTGTATAAAGACACATTAAGGTGACCCCAAGTTTATAATAGTACAGAATGAAACAGAAATAAAACTAAGTCTTTTTTACAATATATTTTATAGTATAAACAAATACTTGATGGTAAGCTGTTGTGTATGTAATTTATTAACTCATTAGCTGGGCCAAAAGAAAAGTGCGGCTGCATGTTTTCTGTGGAATCCGCTACAAATTCCCCCTCTGCTACAAACCTGTACACACAGTGTGCTAGGCCACGGGCTTCTGCACTGTTTGCTCAATGTTGCTACTATGGGCAAAACGGCTCCAGTTACGCATGATGGCAGCGGAAGCATCGTGAGCGGGAAATCGGCTTCACCCGGTGCCCACGGCCTAAACTGAGCTCCTGCGATGAATTCTTGCTGTACTATTCAAATTAACATTTTTAATACTTGAAACATAACTATATGTTCAGGAAATAAATGCCTAGAATTTTAAGCCGGGTTGTTTCACAAAAGGCGTCTCTCGATAGCACCGATCAACTCTCCAAAGTTTTCTGCCAAATTTATCAAATTTCTCTGCAATTCTCAGGAAATTTGGCAAATGCCCCACAATTTGGGGCAAATATTTCTGCACTTTTCCATTGGCCCAGTTCATCAGTGAGACAAACAAAAGTCATTCAAGCCTACAAATGTAGAAGGTATTTGGCATCCCTTACTTATGGTGTAAATTCCATATTCAAGGGATTATTCTTTACACTTTCAGAAGTCAGGCTGACTGAAAAATGTGCATGTATTCAAACCATAAGTGGACTATTTTCATCTTGGCTCAGTACAGCACTCTCTTATTTGAGTTAGAAGGACATAGTCTAAGATGACATTCCAAGGCAATGCTGGGGAATGCATTGCATTGTCTGAGGTGCCGTCCATCAGATTACATGTTAAACCAAGGTCCAGTCTGCCTGTTTAGGTGGATGTTAAAGTTCCCATGGCACCATTCGAAATGAGAAGGGAGTTTCTCCATTCAATAATCCCCAAAATAAAACTGGTCATTCATTTCATGGCTGTTTGTGGGATATTGCTGTGCCTAATTATTCTGCCGTGTTTGCCTCCAAACACACAGTCACTCCATTTCACAGAAAGTCCTGTGACATACTTTGAGATGTCCTTCCGACATGATAAGCCGGCTCCACTGGCTCCCCATCCCTCAGAGGATTGAGTTTAAAATTCTCGTGCTCACTTTCACAGGCCCTCCATGGCCTTTGCCCCTCCTACCTCTCCAACCTGCTAACCTCTAATCAACTTGTCCACTCCCTCCACTCAGCAGGCTCCGGCCTGCTCCATGTCCCTTGTCCAGCCTGCACCACCATTGGTAGTCGGGCCTTCAGCCTCTCTGCCCCCACCCCTTCGCCTCCCTCTGTCCCTTGCTCCTTCAAGGCACACCTCAACACCCTCCTATTCGACCGTGCCTTTGGCTACCCTCCCTGCCCTCCACCCTCTTTGATCCCAACCCCCACACCCCCCCCACCTCCCCCGCTCGGATCCTAATTCCTGACTGTTCAGCACCTTGAGACGGCCTCCCGACCTGAAAGGTGTTTTACAAACGTAATTTTGTATTGTTTAAGGGGCTGTACCAAATGCAAAACATATTACTTTCACTGGATAAAAGTATCATGTCACTCTTTTCTTCCAGTTAAAAATATCAGGATTGTCAGGATTGCTAATGTCATTTCTTGTGAATACCTGCATGTTGCGCATTGTGAGGTAAGTGACATCAGCAGCACTTCTTCTCATGTGCGCAAGAAGTGACGTTTGCAAGCCTTTCTATATATAGCGCACATTGCACAGGAAGTAACGTCAGTTCTGGGCAACTTGACAGCCCAGAATTCAATCATTTTTTGGTGTATTTTGGTATATTTTGTTGAGGACGAACGAACTAACAAACTAACAAACTAGCAAACTATATTTTGAAGTATAAAACTAGTTCAATCAAATATCGTGCTGATCTCAACCAACTGGGATTAGTGGAGTGGAGTCCTGTAGCTCAGTGGTTAGAGCACTCGCTTTGCAGGTGAGAGACCTGAGTTCAATTCCAGGCAGGGCGAAACCTTGGGCAAGTTTCCTTACTCCACACGCCTAATAATAATCCCTCCAAAAAACCAAAAACAATAATTAAATTTATTCATTTTCAATCTACGACTGTTTGTGGGACATTGCTGTGCGCAATTGGCTGCCGCGTTCGCCCACAAATATACAGTCAATTCACTTTACAGTGTGTTCTGTGAAGCGCTTTGGGACGTCCTCCTGACGTGAAAAGCGCTATATCAAATGCAAGGATTATTATTATTATTATATATTACCAATATTATCGGCTTTGTATAGCAAACAAGTTATCACCCTGTAAAGTTGTTAGTAAATGCTTTTTTGCTAATATTGATCGGCAAGTAGAATTATAACATTTTTGGTCTGAAAACATTAACTTACATATAATGGGACCATGATACACAGTGCTTTCAGACAATTGCTTTTCCTACAACAGTTATAAACCCCTTTGATAAAGAGGGCTGCTGCCTTTGCATACTTATTTTTTCAGACTAATTGCTCCTGTCCAATAATTCATCTCCATTTTGCTCAACACCATTTTCTCTCCCTTTGCCCAGAAAACATTTTTAAGATACATTTTATGGCATAAACAGATACTGGATGATAAGATGTTGTGTATGCAATCTATTGGCTCATCCATGACTGACAGCATTCACTATTTCCAAAATATCAGATTTTTAGGGTCCATTCTGTATGCTTCAGTGCCTTCTCTAAGTCATATACGTCTTCCTTGCTTCACTAAGATGATCACTTGAAGACAATTTCATTAAAGATGAGGAACAAAAATAGCCAATGAAATCTTGAAACAATGAAACCTCGCTAAAGCTAGTGTCTCGCAGTCATCACTTGTCACTGTGTTTATGCTTTAAAATTCTGGGTGAGGTAATCTGGGCCCAGACAAACAAATGCTCTCTGATTTTACATTAAAAATGCCTTGGGACATCCTCCCAATGTGAAAGGCGCTATACAAATGTAATTTAAAAAAAAACAATTCTTTAAATCACTGCACTAGTAAAAACATTCACGATTCATGATATCATGGAAAGAATTTTGGTTCAAGGATGAATGAGAAACAGATTAAGTCAATTTATAATATAACATTTAGGATCATTAGATAATTGAAAACAGTTTTCAAATCCAAATGAAGAACAAAAGAAGAAAAATGAAATAAGTAAATTAGAACTTTTTCTTCAATTGTCAGAAACATACCTTGACCAGTATTACAATTAAAAGTTTTTACTGTAACATTAGGAACTATTGTTATGAATAGATTGAAAACCATATAATTCAATAAATGTCTGAACAAAAAACAATCACAAAATTAGAAATAAACATAAAATAAAACAAAACAAAAATGAAAACAATACTGCCAACCTGCTGAGCACAGCAGGTACTACATTAAAGATTAAAAAAATGACCCTAGGATAAGAAGATAAGAGTAACAAAATAGATCCACAGCTACTCATTCCCCCCTACGGTATCATTTACTTGGAAAAATGGAATGATAATTAGAAATTTTGCTCAGCATAGGAGCACAGCAAGTTCCCAAGTGACAGTTACCATATCACTGGCATCTGAGCCATCCTGACAATTTCCTTCTGGGAGCAACTACAGAATCTAAACTGAAGCCTAAAGTTATACAAGTCTGATTACAACCTAGTGATGACTGAGAGAAACTAATCATGGCCTTTTGCCTGGTAGGATGGGGAAGAAGATGGGAAGAGGGGGTAAAGATAGCAAACTTGCATCTTACCCGCTTAATACACCAAGAACCAGATTTAGAACGAAAAAGGATCCAAAGATGACCAGACTCACAAAATAGACCCAGGGTAACTCAAAGCCCATGGCATCCTGCATCTGGAAAGATGAAGGAGGGTTAACAGAGAAATAGTTTGCAGATTGAAAGCTAGAGGAGTGACGAGGTTAGAGAAATACACTCCAAAGTCATGCACAGCGATTCAATGGCATGCACTTCCCGGTTTCAGATTTCAAAAAATAAAAAGTTATATAAGAACTCCATGCAAATCATGATCTTTATTTTTAACAGTTTGCTGTTTTAATTATGGTTGATGCATCTTACATTTTATCTTATATAAACACATGAAGTTAAAAACTGCTGACACAGCCCACAGTCCTCACTCTAACTTTTTTTAAAAAATTGTCTTGCACTGAATCTATACTCTCTACTGCCTACTGAATTAGGTATCTGACCACTTTGGTTTTGAATGCATTTGTCATACTAGTTGACAGCCTATTCTACAAGTTACCAATTTAGTGTAAAGCTGTTCTTGATGAATTGTTTTTACCTCATTTAATGTACGGTATGCATGGTGAGCACTGAGTAGATCAGAAAATGGTCACCATTTATCCATTCCAGAAACAAGATATTTTCCTGTAAAAAGTAATGTTTCAATATTTCCTGACTACCCGTTTCAGCCTTAAAGCACACTTTTTAAACTATATGAACTCTGACCAAAAAACGAAACAAAATTGTAATCCTGGGAGGAGAGCTGCATTATTGGAAGTGCCATCCTTTTAGATGGTACATTAAACCAAGGTCAAGGTGGAGTTTAAAGATCCCAATAGATTATTTGAAAAGAGAAGTGAGTTCCTCCCAGGAACAATAATTGTCCAGATACATTAGATATTGAATTGATGGCTGTTTGTAGGTCATTGCTGTGTGCAAATTGTTTTCACGTTCATCTATAAAACAGTTGTTACACATTACAGCAATTTACTGTGAATTTGATACTTCAAAATTATTGGCACTTTATCAAATGCAAGGATTATTATCATCACATAATGTATAGAATTGCTTGCTCTCATCTCTCCCTATCGCTGTCTAAATGGGAATACACAATTCCAAAGACCTGAGTATCTTATCTTAATAAAAAAGACACCTCATCATTTCAATCAACATAAAGAAATCAATGATAATATTTGGCACTCAAACGGTTACACAAAGCATTCCAGGAAGTCAGTTTGTCATCAAATTAAGACATCACTGGTTCAATATGTGTTTTACTTTAAACAAAAAAGATGCCTAATGATACATGAGAAATATAATCTCGGGAGACTGGTACAGTTTCCTCTCAAGTCCTTGGGGGTATCAAATCTCAGTATATGATGCCATTCTCAAGCCTTTTAATCTTTAAAGGCCTGAGATACTCATCCCAATGACTACAGTGCTATGTTCTCATAGATTGTTGATGGGAAAAAATAATCCTCAAGGACAAAATATATTAAAGCAAAATGTATAATAGGCAGGAATGTGTAGATAAAGTCCCTTCTCCATGACCGAATTACCACTATGGTAATTTACAAGAGTTGTCAAAGGGAAGAAATGCTTTTATATTATCTGTTCATGTTGCCTTAGGCCAATTTAGCTTTTTTTAAAGCCTGAGAATCATTCAGAAGCATCTTGTACTTTGTACAAAGTATAACTACAGCCCACATATTTTGTCAGTAAGAAACAGAAAAATGCAGCTGAAGATAGTTTTATTTTTGTTGAGTTTCTCAGAATTAATAAGAGGGAACTGACTTTGTCATGATAGTATCCATATACTGCTGAAAATGCAACTAAAAGCCACAGAGAATTAAATGAGAATTAATGGCAAACCTGTATAAAAAGAGACCCAGTCCCAGGTGAGTATAGCACAAAAATAATCATTCTTAACTGAAGTCACCAGCAGAATGTTACAGACACACAATCTGGAACAGTTCTGTAAAGTCTTACACTTCAATTTTAATGTAAACGTTTAGAGATTGTCACGCTCTATTTCAACACTTGCTGTGCTTTATTCACGCAGGCTGCAGTGATTCCTTTTGATCTGCACAAGGGCAAAATTATATATTTGGAAAGTATAGGAAAGTGACTGAAGTGCAATCTTGAAGTTCACACTAGCACAAGCCATTACAACTAATCTGTTTTAAAATTTTAAAAAAATCAGTTAAAGCAAGTTAGAGCTGCAATGGAGTGTACAGGAAAATTATTTTGTAGGCTAGGATGCAATAAGAAAGGTGGGATAATATTTTAAGAATTCAAGTTATCATAACATATTACAATACATAATCCTTTCAAATAATGCGTTTGCCTTCACAAAGCAAACAGAAAAGAATCAAATATTTACAAGCTTTGTTTTTACAAAACTTATTTTTTCCCTCCTATCATGAGCTTTAGTCATCACAAATTCTCCCCGCTGTTGACTCATTGTGATAGGCCTGATCTTCCATGGACAGTATTATTTTTGTTTGATCTTCATCCAGTAGGATATATGATTTGATTGAGAAGATAAATAATGTCCACCTTTCCTTCATTTCCTTTTCCCTTCCCTGTAAAACATTACCTTGCTAACAGAAAGCATTTTATCTAATGGACAAACTGAGAATGGATGAAACTAAAGCAAGTGAAGCAGTAGAACTCAAATGGCAGACATCAAGAGAGTAAATTAATCTTCCTTTGGTTAGGAGTTGTTGCTCAAACACCATGGTATAAGAACTTCACTTTGTATCTATTAAGGCAAGGGATGACATTGGAGATCAGAACATATTTGTCTTTGCATCTCATAACAACTTCAAGCAGTCTAAGTGTGGGTAAAGTTCAGAGCACGTGAGTTCATCCCTCTCTCAAGACTTTCATGTATCTGGAGTGCCAACTGCAGAAACAATGCACCTTTTTTTATTTTCCACACCAGCCATTCTTACATGTTTTCAGTTACAAAGCAGAGACTGGCTACCTTCACACAGAAACAAAGGGAAAGAGGAAGAAAACAATTTATAAAAGAAAATCTGCAGGCAATTCAACCCGGGCAGCAGCCATTAACCCCCACCCCACCCCAGTCTGATTACAGAGTGACATTGGTATTAGCTTCAGAAATATCTCAGGAAGCAGCTGTGAGTTATGTAGATCTGTAAAGGTGTGTGGGTCACTCTACCAGTTCTAGGGCATAGCTTCAACTAACTGAGAAGTGCAGGAAGAATACTTGGAGTGAACTGAAACAGGGAAATCTTCCATGAGTGGACTTGATGGGGCTCTGGGTCATTTATTGCTCTTTCCTTTCTGTGAAGCTGTGTCTGTATCTCTTTATATAAATGTAATTTTAGAGATGTGAATTCAAAAAGCTGCAACAATTTGTAACAGTCATACACATTAAAAGATACCGCATTTTTAAAGAGAAACTTGAGTGTTTTAATTCATAACATATGTGTCGTGGTATGTGAAAAACAAGACAAATTCACCTTTTCTAAATAAAACTCCATTGCAGTTGGCTTCTATCGAAGATGTGAACTGATTTAAACCATAAATAGCAATGCTTAGCACAAGCCAAACTCAGAAACCTAAATGAAAATTTATAAACTATAGCATATGTTTCCAAATCATAAGTTAACACAATTACAGTTTTTTTATCAAATGCCAAAGTCTGTTTCAAGGATGTTGTGGGAAACTTTTGGTTTGATATCAAATTTTTCTCTGGCACTGGTCCTTTAACGGTTTTAAAGTATTTAAATTGGTTGCATTAACTTTTGCACCACGGATGTAAATGTACATCCAGATTACACATATTGTGAGTCTCAGAGAAGGTGTTGAATTATAGAGAGATAAGTTACTTCCACTATAGCTCATTTGAACAGCTTTGATAGAAGCCTGGGAGTTGATCCTCTTATTTACTGGCTTGCCCTCTAATTTATTGGCACTAGCTTGGCAAGCATATGGTCACAAGTTAGTGTCCCACAAGCTTCCTGATAATAAAATGTTGTCTACCATTTAGTGTGATTTACCCCTCCAATTGGGTTTCCATGGCACCCACAGCACAGAAACAGCCCTTGTCAAAGTGACAAATGATATTCTGTCCATCTGCGACCAGGGCTCCCTCTGCCTCCTCGTCTGCTGCTTTCGACACTGTCGACCACTCTATCCTCATCCACTGCCTCTCCTCAACCTCCACGGTGCTGTCATTGACTGGTTCAGATCGTACCTCTTACACCGCCTGCACTTCATCTCCACAAATGGCTTCTCCTCTAACCCCCGGACCATCTCGTGCGGCGTTTCTCAGGGCCCTGTCCTTGGTCCCCTCCTCTCCAATATCTGTATGCTCCCTCTTGGTGACATCATCTGCAGACATGGGGTCAACTTTCACATGTATGCAGATGACACCCAACTCTATCTCTCTGCCTCCACCCTTCACTCCAGGACCACTGCTGTCCTGACTGAATGTCTGTCAGACATCAAGTCCTGGAAGAGAGCTAACTTTCTCAGTTGAACGTCAAGAAGACCAAGGCTCTCCTGATTGGCTCCCGTCAGCGCCTCCTCACCTCAGGCACTGACAGCATCACCATCCATGGTTGCACACTCCACTTTGCTAAGCCAGTCCGGAACCTTGGGGTCTTGTTTGACCCTCAGCTATTCTTCCTAACCCACATCTGCTCCATGATCCATTCTGCCTTCCCCCACCTCCGCCACGTCGCCTGGCTCCTACACTGTCTCACACCGCAGGCCGCCGAGACTCTCATACATGCCTTCATTACATCGAGACTCGACTATGTAAACTCATTGCTTGTTGGCCTCCCCAACTCCTCTCTCCACGGCTCCACGACCCTATCATCCGCCCAACTCCACTGGCTTCCCATCACACGGAAGACACAGTTCAAGATCCTGGTCCTCACCTTCAAAACCCTCCACGGTCTTGATCTCCCCTACCTCTGCGACCTCCTAACCTCCTATCATCCTGCTTGCTCCCTCCGCTCAGCAGGCTCCGACCTGCTTCACATCCCCCGCCTCGCTCACCCCACTATTGGCGGGCAGGCCTTCTGCCACTCTGCTCCCATCCTCTGGAATTCCAACCCGCAGGCCCTCTGCCTCACCCCCCTCCCTTGCCACCTTCAAGACCCATCTCAAGACCCTCTTCTTCGACCGTGCTTTCGATCTCCCTGCTTCACCCCCTGCCCTCCACGACCCCGACTCCCAGCTTGGGTCGTAACTCTGTCTGTCCAGCGCCTTGGAGTGTCTTCCCAATGTGAAACGAGCTTTACAAATGTAATTTTCTTGTTGTTGTTGATTGTTAAAAATCCTCCAGAGCCATAGGTGAAATATCTTACTTACATACTGCAGTTAACAGAGTAAAAAAAATAAAAAATGTGAGTGGATCAGTGGCTCGTAAATTTATTTTTGCTCTTGCAAGAAATCATTTATTGACTGATCACAGGCCAGAAGTCATACTGCACTTTTTAATGAATGTGATGTGTCATGGAGGCCTGGGATGTTCCATCAAAGAGAACAAGAAAACAAATATCAGTTTGAACTACATTTCTGATAGGATCTCTCCCTTGATACCACAACTATGAATGGGAATTCACTGGAATGCGAATATAGAGAATCATAAATGTGAGTCCATATCTCAGCCATATGTGATACAGTACATGGGAACACCAACGCAGTTTACTACATTGCACTTCCAAAACAAATCTATTCCAAAGATATTACACTGCATGTTCGATGCGTGAATGTTTTAGCAGTTTACTGGTCATTAATTTTTGGTAGCTATTAATTTGTACATAACTTTATGATGCTCTTAAAGCACTGCCTTTGCTTTGACCTGTCATTAAGAGCTACAGAGTAAAAAAAAAGGAACCATCATTTTTTAACCAATTAGTGATGCTCTGTCTCATTGGAGGGCATATGTTTAGCAGCCCAGCTATGGATGGAATAATACTCATTACTGTGTATTATACTGAATGGTCTTGGCTTAGCTCCCTATACTCCTGTTGCTCAAAACAAAACACCACCTTGTGAAACAAGCAGCTACTGCTGTGCTGCTATTGAAAGAAATGCTTGAACATTTTTACAACTTGGATAAGAATTTCAGAAATGTTTTTTTATTTTCAATTGGACTGAATAGCCATTTTATGATTGGATGCACAGGAGAATATTCATTAAGCAATATGGAGAACTTTTAAAAAAAACATATTTTGTTTCTGGAATGGATTTTGAAAGTTTTTTTGTTGTTAAATGAGTTGCTTATCAAGCTTAACCATTTCCAAAATGGTGACGTTCTACGGAACGATTATGTGCTTTAAATTACAGTATTTGTTATATGATATTGATTTTTTTTGTCATTATAAATGTATGTCAAAGTCCAATACAGCAAGTTAATCATAACATCATCTTTTCATTCTGCAAATAGAAAGTGCTCTATTTGGAGTGATTAATGATGTCCACTAGGGGCAGACTGATTCACCTATTTCTAAATACCTCAACTGCCTGTTTATAATGTTTGCATTTGATAGTAGCAGAAAAATTGTGATTTATTTTTCATCTTTCTAATACGATTCCCATAAAATATTGGTACGTTTAGAGATTAGTATATAATAGAGCCCAATATCAGATGCATCTATAGAGAGGGGAAAGTAAGTTCTGATGAAAGGTCATCGACCTGAAAACGTTAACTGACTTTCCTCTCTTCATACTAGCCGCCTGACCTGCTGAGCGTTCCCAGCGACTTCTGTTTTTATTTCAGATTTCCAGCATCTGCAGTATTTTGTTTTTTGTTTTTCTTCACAATATCAGATGCTTTGCTTTCAATTTTCTACTGTGGTCTAAAGTACCCCCAAATAAGTATTGGTCATTCGTTCCATTGCTGATTGTAGGACATTGCTTTGCGCAAATCAGCTGCTATGTTCGGCCACAAAACACAGTTATTCCACTTTATAATATATTGTGTGAACTGATTTGGGACATCCTCCTAAGGTGAAAGGCCAACTACCAAAATCAAGGTTATTATTATTACTCTTTCCTGCCCTTGTGCTCTACATTATTATTTTTCAGGATCTCTATTTGCCTTTTTTAATTCTTGCTTGAGGGTAAGCGATCTTCACCTTACCCAGCAGTTGAACCACTGTTTGAAACAAAAATTTAATACATGCTTTGATCAGATGCATCAGATATTTGGTGGCATTAACTGCACTTGAGAATCTAATTCACATTGATCATTTCACTGCTTTGAGGAGGGAACATACACTTAAATGAAGAAAGTACAAGGTAGAGGACAAAATCGTGCAAATAGCTTCAGGCAGAATCAGCAGCAAAAATTTAGGTTACAGTTGCAAGGCAATAAATTAAAAATGGAAATTAAGAAATGCAATTAAGGTTGCAGCAAAAAGCAATCAGGAAATGGTGACACTTTTGGAAAAAGAAACAATGAAATAAAGAAAGATCATAAAAGAGCCGATGGATTAGGGCAAACCATAGAGGGAGACCATAAACAGAATGAATGGAGGTAGCGAAGAAAAACAAAAGATGTTGTAGAGGAAGAAAATATTAGGCTGCAACTGAAGGAAATTAGCAGGAGTGCACTAAAATGAAAGAAAAGTTGTGAGCTGATAGTAGTGAAACAGAGGAGGAACCCATGTTTGAAACATTTGTTTACTATCAATAATACCTGTTGATATTCAATTTCAGATAAGGTGATAATAATCAAGTCCTAACTCCAAAGAGATTGCTGCCATTTTTGCAGCGATTACTTTCCAATAAGAAAATTAATAAGTGCTTTCTGTCACATATCTATGATTAAAAAAAGTTAAACACCGTACACGGTCAGACCATACAAACTACTTTTTTTATTCATTTTCTTACCAAGCTTAAGATGCATTCTGGAGCAGCCATTTTAAAATAGTTTGTGTATAAGTTGACAAGAGCAAACGAGTTACATTTAGTAAACATGTGGACAAGCAGGACATGCCATGCACACGCTGTAAATTAACTGTAGCACTCCTTCTTATTGCTTTGTTGCTTAATTGCTTCAATACATACCCAATATAATACATCTGTCCATCCCTCCATGGTGATGCACTGAAATACAGTTAGCATAGCAAAGGCAAAGTTGTCGAAGTTAGTGATTCCATCATTGGGGCCAACCCATCCATTCTTACAGAGTGTTTCATTTGGACACTGGCGGCCATGTCCCACGTTTCCGTTGCATGGAGCAGACTCTTCTTCACCAATTGTGTCTGAAGATCAAACAGGCAGCAAGTTAATAATACACAACAACTCTTTATTGTAGCAATTTTAGCAGTTAGCTGCCCAAAAAATTTTACTTAAAGCATAAATGATCTTACTGCTCGAGAGGATACTAAATTGACATCATACAATGTTATTTTTAAACGTGGCGATTGAACTAAATGCTATTATGACCAATAGGTTTACACAATCTTTTTGGATTACAATTATATACACAATCCTAAAGTGCTGTTCTGTGACCTTTCGAGTTATGAAACAGGCCTGAGTTGGTGGAGCAGAGGGAGTGAGCAGGGAGTAGGACCACAGTAAATTGTGGCAATAGGTTAAGGCAGGTGACAGAAGCATTTGAACAAGGATCTTCAAGTTGATCTGCTGAGGAATAGGGAGCCTGGTGAGGATGGGAGTGAAAGGGCTTAATAATAACAATAATAATAATCCTTGCATTTGATATAGCGCCTTATCATGTCTTTGAGATGTCGCAAAGTGCTTCACAGAATGTATAGTAAAGTGAATGGACTGTATTCATTATTTATTTATGTATTTATATATTATTATTTATTTATGTATTTGTGGGCGAAAAGCGGCAGCCAATTGCGCACAGCAGTGTTCCACAAACAGTCGTGTATTGAATGACCAAATTATTATTTTATTTTTTCAAAGGATTATTGCTGGAAAAGCAATCAGCCAATCGAGTAACAACCGGGATCTTACTTACTGCTAGGTAAACAGAGGCGCGTGGAGTAAGGAAACGTGCCTAACATTTCACCCTGACCAGGAATCAAACCCAAGTCCTCTCGCTTGTGAGGCGAGTGCTTTAACCACTAAGTTAGGACTCACAAATACTGGGATTTCAGTAGCCTGTTTGGAAAACATTAACAACATAAGTTGATTCTAAAAATAAAATTATGGACCTTGTAAGGGACAGAATATAGAAGTCTGGATGATTTGGAACTGTTGGTAGATAGAACTAGAAAGACCATGGAATAGGGAATTGGATAAGCCAAGTCTGGAGCTGTGGATGAGGATTTTGGTTGCATTGGGAGTGAGGTAGTGATGTGCCGGCCAGTGTTATGTCTTTGTGCATCCATGAATAATGAATACGGAAGTGCTGACTGGTGCTTGAACTCTATTTTAGTACCAGTAATTTAGTACCATTAATTATGAAAAATTAGAGGCGAAGGGGAGAGCAATTGGTTACACAAAGGTTGAATACTATCTGCTTTTGTTCCGATGATTGAAGATGTCAGACATTTGATAGCATTAGCGCGTAAAAGTAATCATTATGATAGAAGAACCTTGGAGATAAAAAAAATCCTTATTAAGCAATACTTCATAATTTGAAATCACTTGCCATTAAAAAGTGATTTTTTTTCATCATAAAAGACTACAGTATATACCCACTTTGATTCATGCTTTCCACTGAAAAGCTGGCAAACGGTTCTGAATAAATAGAACAGAAGTTCATTTCTCATTTCTCCTTTTCAAAACAGAGGAAATGACAGGACGCAAACATTAAGGTATAAGTGTGCAATTTTAAGTTATTGAGATAATTGCCCTACCAATTTTTCTACCAGAGTCCATTTCAATACCATTTATCAAACACAGTGTTTATCTATCAGAGACATAATGATAATTCTGCATACATTCTACCTGTCACACACCAGTGACCTACCATACAAACTTAACTGAGCACAAAAACACTTCCCCCCACCTGTACCATTGCTGCCTCCACATGAAGGTTATATGAACATCTGTAACTTTAAATAAATGCTTTGCTAACTTGCGCATATACCTCAGCTATTTTGATTCATCAAAGTAATGTGACAAATATCACCCTCTATTTATTAGTATTTTTTTCAACTAAAACGCTACTTCATTCAATCCTGAAGTAAAATGTATTCCCTGTTGGTGTTTTATCAGGTTTCATTGATTATAAGCAAATAACAGAAATATCAGAAATATAAAGGAATTCAACCTCAGTTGACCCAACCAATGCTAAACAGTAGCAATAAATGGAGACAAATATAGAATACTTGAAGTGGGATATAATGATCTGCAAACCTGTTTCTGGTGTCACATCCAAGAGTTTGACAGGTACCTTATCAGCCAACTAGGATGAAATTAGCATTGACAAGAAAGCAACACTTTTAATCCAAGTTACATATGTTCACATTGGCTTCATGTTTGAGTTAGCAATGGCATTCTGCTGCCTTTTTCTAAAGCCAATCAGCAGTATATTCATCTTACAACACAAGTATATTAAATTTATGTGATAGAATTCATCCAACCACTGAGGAGCATTCCACATCTCCACAAACCTCTGTGTGAATAAATAATTCCTGAGCTCAGGTTGAACTGTCTTAGATCTGATTTTAAGACTTGAAAACCACACAAGAGGGCATAGCCTCAACAACAGAACAAGTTCACAGTTCTTCACATCAACATTTCAATCTCTGAATATTAAATTACCCTCTAAAACAATTAAAATACTGTGAAGTTTCTCCTAAACCCACAAAGGTAATTTAAGACATTCTGACCAGTTGCTGTGATGTGAAGCTGGATAGACTGCATTATATTCCTCAGAGCAGATGAGTTTAAGGGGTAATTTCATTGTGATATTTAAAACAATAAAATTAATTAATAGGTTAGTTAGACAACTTCCCTCGAGTTGATGGATCTATTGCAAGGCAGTAGAGTCTTACAATCAGGAGTTAAAAAAGTTAAAACTGAGGTCAGAAAGCATTTCTTCACACAGAGGGTGGCGAAGATAATAGAATGCTCTACATCAAAAAGCTGTGGAGGCAGAATCAATAAGGATGCTTAAATGAGAGAGATAGATGAGAGAAACAGGTATCAGATAGTAGCAATATAAAGTGGTGTAGCAAAAGAGCATTGCGTTTGAAGGTCTGCCAAGATCTAATAAACTGATGGAACAAGCTCAATGGGCTGAATGGCCTCCTACTGTTCCTGTTTTCTAATGTTCTTATTCCACAGCATATTGTAATTTAGTTTGAGAGAAAGGTGAGAGAAAGCGAAAGAGATAGTAAACAAGACACACACACAAATACAAAGAATCATGCTTGACTTTCAATGCACTGGAATACTCGCTCTGGGTTGATAAATTTGGACTTTTTAAGATCTAGAACAGTGACATGCCTAAAAACGAGTAGGACGCAAGAAATTATTCCCCCTCCCATGACAAATTTTGGAAGATTCTGTACTTCAAGGACACAAAACAAATCAACATTTTGTTAACAAATAAGCAAGAAAAAATACTAATTCTGTTGTTGCCATTCATTACTTACCAACATAGCTCCTAGAGCTCACTTCACAATAATTTACTACATGATCAATGAGGTGATTACTTTGTTATGCAAACGGCATAATGATAAGTATTTGTATTTTGTAAAATTGCCTGCCAATAAAATAATTGTAGATTCAGCCAATGTGTGACAATTGGCCAGTCACTCTGGGGTAGGGAGAGGAAAATTGGCCATTTCTGATCCTGCTCTCAGCAATTGCTGTTGGAAGTGCACATGTGTAGAGGTCAATAAGGATTGGATGGGGATCAATTGCAATGCTTCCCACAGTCAAAGAGCCTGCCCACTCATGCTGTCAACACTCAAACAGGAAGAATTACTATTTACACAAGATACTAGAAAATGACTGGCATCTTCCACCTTGCAACATAAATCAGCACTTTCAGGAGGGGAGGGGAGAATAGAAGTGCTAAATTGTATTGATTAGTGGATTTAATTATAGTTACAGTTACTAAATGAATTGAATAAACAAGATACAATTTTACTTTAAACAAGTAAATCAATTCACTTTCAACATGTGAATCAATTCCTGGCTGAATAGAAATAAATAATAGATTGCCTTGGTTTAAACAATTATTTGCAATATTGACTAATTTCATTGAAGAACTTATAGCTGTCACTTAATATAACTTTTATTAAAGTTAATACAATTAAAGTTATTAAATTAGTGGCTACATCTATCAATTATTTGAGCTACTGTATGTTGCTATGAACCTTTACATCGTGACTGATTTCATAATCCTCTGGAGTGTTTTTTCAGGTTAATTTGGTTTCCACATTTTCTTCTGGCTTTCCTTTGTTTTTTTAAAAATGGTGCAATGTGAAAACCCTGCACATGGCCAATCTTTCCAATAATAATAATAATAATAATCCTTACATTTGATATAGCGCTTTTCACGTCGGGAGGACGTCCCGAAGCGCTTCACAGAACACACTGTAAAGTGAATTGACTGTATATTTGTGGAGCCAACGCGGGAGCCAATTGCGAACAGCAGTGTCCCACAAACAGTTGTAGATTGAAAATGACCAATTTATTATTGTTTTTGGTTTTGGAGGGATTATTATTAGGCACTGTGTGGAGTAAGGAAACTTGCCCAAGGTTTCGCCCTGCCTGGAATTCAACTCAGGTCTCTCGCTTACAAAGCGAGTGCTCTAACCACTGAGCTACAGGACTCCACAATCGATGGAACTCCAAGTCATTCTGATTTTTGGCAATAGTACTCCAAGACACTGTTGATGGGTCAGCCATTCTTGGCTCATTAGTGGAACATGAAGAAGCAGAACAGTCACCTTGGGCTGGGATTCTTCCTACTTGGAACCTGTTAACCATGAAAGCCAAATCCATTATGGGTAGAGTGGTTCTAACTGGACAACTCAGGAAGCTTGCTTGTGTTCACAATGGCAAGCTGTGTAGATTCAGCTGGTTAAACTCTAGCAATACCCAAATGTACACCCTAGAGATCCCCAAGCTTTAGTACTTGCTAGCCTCTGCTTAACTCATTCAGATTAGGTAAGCAGGTTTGATCCCTTCATTGCAAAGAATGCACACTCCATATTAGACAAACAGAAATTTCTGCGTATATGTGGAACTCTCAGGAATTTTGTTTGATTTGATAGATTCCGATGGATTCTCACATGTGTCAGACACCCAGTTTAGCAAATCAACAATAACTACAAAAATTACACTTGTGCAGCGCCTTCAGGAGAACATCCCAAGGCACTGGACAGTCAGGAATTTGGACCCGAGCAGGAGTTTGGAATTAGGAGGGGTGGAGGGCAGGGTAGGCAGGGATAGGAGAGTGGCCTAAGGCCCGGTCGAAGAGGAGGGTCTTGATATGTACTTTGAAGGAGGCCGGAACCTGCTGAGAGAAGGGAGTATACAGGTTGATATGGCGCTAGCAGGTCACAGAGGTAGGAAGGAGCAAGGCCATAGAGGGCCCTCTAGTTTTAACAAAATCTAGTTTTAACAAAGTTTTATGAAAGATATTAAAACCATGATAAACTAATGTTACCATATGAGGGTTTGATCAAGTAGAATAAAGTCCAGGATATGTAGAATTAACTTGGAAATGATTTTTGGAATAGACACACAATGTTCAGGGCATGATTTGACAAGCATGATGGTAATAAATGTAAATGATTCACAGCTGTGTTTAAAAATATATCCAAGAATTTTAAAATACCTATTATTTTAATGAACATAATTATGTTGTCTCCAGTGTTTAGAGAGGGGAAAAAAACATAGAAATCTACACCTGTCAATTGAAACAGCACATTATAAAATGGTTGTAATTTTTACAAGAGTCAATGATCCTTTTTTTTGAAAAACAAATCAATGGGTGCATGTTATTTAGTTGCCCCTGACAACAGTGCTGGTTTCTTTTCATTGATTTTCCTCCACTGTGGATGCAGTTTATTTGTTCTGATTTAGCACCATCTGCCTCTTTTCATAAAAAGAAACCTATTTGGAGAAACAAGCTGGTTGAATGTGGAGTTTATGGTGAGACATATGCGCTTGCTGAGACAATGATATCATGATGTGTCATTTATTGCTGTTAAGAAAATGAATGGAACAGAGCCACTCTGCATTGCTAAGAAGGGTACAGCAGTGCTACTCTTCATTGCTAAGAAAATCATGTGATGATAAATCACTTAGGAAATACCTTAACCAAAATATATTATCCAGCATCCCTTGTGTGCTGGAGGGCAAACAGAAGCAGAGTGTGATCGAAGCTAATGTATTTTAATACACCTAAACTCCCTTTTTAATTATTCTGAATTTACATACTCAAATTTAAGTATTTCATTTATCTTTACAATTGCCAAAGAAAACTTTGGATACAATAATAAAGGTCACACGGTATCATATGGTGCCCCTCAATGTCTTTATTTCGGTATTACATTCAATACCCTCTCATTTCTGTTACTCTGTGACATAACATGCTCAGTATAATGAGGTAAACCAGCATGAACAGTAAATATGAATGAACCCCCCCACCCTTACATACACTATATTATGAGAAACAACAAATGTCTGTAAGTAGATTTGAGGAATAATTCAATATCGTGGGTTCCAGTGATACATCACTTTCCTGGATTAGAACATTATCAAATTAGTCAACTGAAGTACAGCCAAGTACTTATTCATTCATAAATAGGTGATTTTTTTCAAAATGTAAAACAAAAAATTAAATCTGTTTATTGTAACATGGGATTGATTAGAACTCTTCACCCAACTCCAATATATTCCCAAGATCTACCTACATCAATGACATGAAGTAAAAGTGTCAGCATTGCTTTATCTTCTGTTCACAAACCTTCCAATCATCAATTCAATTATAATGCTCAATAATAACAAAAGACTTCATAAGACACAATTTATGCACAGGAACCCAGTGATTTCACATTTTAAAGAACTACTTCTAATAGTGTTGACAGTCAGCTGGTTTCTTGCAGACTTTCTGGTGTGTTTGTTTAAATTAACCAAAAAAATGAAGACATCTGGAGAGAAATATCTTTTGCATTAGAATTATCATCTTAACATGGATAGTGAAAAGGTTGAGCAGTCTGTGCAAACACATGAATAACATCAGCAGACCAAAATCTAAAGGTTTCAGACAGAAAATATAAATTAATTTAAGCTACAATGAACACACCGATAGCTTAATGAGATCATTGAGATCATTTGTTCAACCTTAGCAAGCTCCTCTATTAAAACCCGGACTTTCTAGTTCTTTATGAATTGTTCGGGCCACGAGGTATGATTAAATGTTTAAATTTAGCAGGTTTTTCGTCAGCCTTGTGCTAAAGAATACCTCATATTAAGTAAACGTTCCCTCAGAAATCACATTGCAGCCACGAAAAGGAGGCCTGAACTAATTAATTAATGTTCCCTGCAGTCAGTTTCATAGCAACAGCAAGAGAAGCAATGATAGTCACTGCTTTGAGAAGACATCGAATCATCAGCGTCATTATGTTCTACATTACTTGAATTGCAGTAAGTCCACTTCACTTACACTAGCGTTTACAGAAGTAAGTTTCAAGTTCAACATATATTTTGTTTAAAGCAGAAAATCAAGAACCTTCAAGCTGGCATCAAATGTTCAGGACTTTTTTAGGGGTCTGATACATGGAAAAAAAAGTATCCAAACCAGACTGAGAGTTCCACATATGTATGCTTCCACATATGTTCCACCCTACGTTCCACATATGTTTGCCTACACATGGAATTTTTTTATATAATAGGAATGAAATGAGCCCTCTCTCCCTGCAGGAACGCACCTTGTTTACACAATTTCAGAGTGTCTTAGGCTCAGGCTGGCAAGAGCCAAATCTTAGGGACTTCAGAGTGTGAACTGGGGTATTGTATCTAGTTCAGACAGTCAAAACGTCATAGTGTGCCACTGAGAATACTCTCTGCCAAATTCTTGCTGCTTGTTCAATTAGGACCACCTTACCCATTAGGAATTTGGCTTGCAAAGAAACCCTATTCCAAGTGACCAATCTATCCCTCCAAGTCCTGCTGATGAGCTCAACTGGCTGCTTTGTCATCAACTTGTGAACCAGACTTCTAAGACCGTCACACTCTTGATTCTGACATTGTGTTGCCAAGTACGTCACCTTGGGAGCCCATTCATCAGAGATAAAGTAACACATGGGATTTTTCAAACTTTGGGACGAGCTGGATGGGTCTTTCAGTCCTATACTTTGCTACTGCACTACGGTTATTATTTTTAAACTGGAACTAATATTGATGACATCAGGTGATAACCAGCTGAGACAATAATAAATATCATCAAATACAAATTATCTGTCTTATTACTCGATAGCAAAATCATGTGGTAAATTACACTGAGAAGTGACCAGATGTGGAAATAATCGGGAAGAATCGGGCCACATCTCTCAGTGACATTTTTTAATCATGACACTACTTCCAATTATTGTGCACAGTAGCTACTAAAGTTCTTACCTGTTCCATTTACGTAGCAGGTTTTGTGCATTTTGCCCATGAAGAGTTCTAATCCTATAATAGCGTAGATGATAATTACAAAAAGTACCAATAAAGCAATGTGCAGCAATGGTACCATGGCCTTGATGATTGAATTTAACACAACTTGGAGGCCTGAAAACAAAAATAAAAAGACAATTTTAGATGCTAATGCTTGAAACTTTTATACTAACTAAATAAAAAAGTGAATACGCTATAAAGGGGCAATTTTATTTTTAAAGTTTGAAAATAGTTAATTGAATGTCTATTTCTTCTGTGATTTCCTCATTGAAACTGCAGTGTTTTACTGTTTAACATGGAAGTCACTTGTAAAAGTATAACAAGTTCTGAAATGGTTTGATTACAAATGAATCATTGTGAAAATATTTGAGGTAATTGTAGCTATCCTTACTGTACCAAAGATATTGTACTTTTGAAAACACCGGAGTAACAATCATTTCTCATTTTGATCAAATACTTTATAGAATTATTTTTAAAGCTTCATATAGAATTTTTTTTTAAGAGAACCATCTGACACAACAATCTGACTTTATAGAAATAGATTAATTTACATTATATAACGGGTGAGTAATTATTTTGTAATTCTCCAGTCAAAATAACTTGGTTCATGTAAAGTCCTACACCACCTGCTGATGTCCTGTGAGATTCTACACCACGCAGAACAACTTTAATTAGCGCTCTGTCAATTCATGCTTTCTTATCCTATGCTCATAAATTCAATGCAGTAATGTTGATATTCAAATTTTTGCAGCTTTGCTATGATGCTTTGTTATTAGTTTATGCATAGTCTAACATAAACCAAAGAGTGTCTTCATATCACCACAAATAATTTTTATACATCCATGTCCTTAAGGTGAAAACAACAGGATGTTTTTTCAGAGGAAGAGGTACATATTAATAATAATCCTTGCATTTGATATAGCGCCTTATCACATTGTTGAGATGTATTTTGTAGGTGAAGCGCAGCAGACAATTGTGCACAGCAATGTCCCACAAACAGCCATGAAATGAGTAACCAATTTTATTTGGTGCATTGTTGGCTAGGACACCAGAGAACCTTCTTTCTCTTTTCGAACAATGCCATGGGATCTTTAACATCCACCCAAACAGGCAGATGGGACCTCGGTTCATGAAATTATTTTAAAGCTTCATATAGAAATACTGGATATGCAAGAAAAAAGTACAAAAAACTAATTTTAAGAGAACCATCTGACACAACAATGACCTCGGTCTCATCTGAAAATATTGCAACACATATATTGAAAATATTACAACATATGAGAAAAACATGTTGCAGCTAAAGCACAAGTTAATATCTAGGAAAAGCAAAGAATTCCAAGTGGGGAATAGATCTTGGAATATCCAGACATTTAGTGAATATTCAGTTTCATGAAAGTATGTTTGACGTGTCCAACACAGGCAAGAGGGACACCAACCAGCACATACAAATGCTTCTAGACGTCTCAAAGCGCTTCACAGAATAGACTGTAAAGTGAATTGACTGTATATTTGTGGGAGAAATGCAGCAGCCAATTGCACACAGCAGTGTCCCACAAACAGTCATGGATTGAAATGACCAATTTATTATTTTTTTTGAGGGATTATTATCAGGCGTGTGGAGTAAGGAAACTTGCCCAAGGTTTCGTCCTGCCGGGAATTGAACCCAGGTCTCTCGCTTGCAAAGCAAGTGCTCTAACCACTGAGCTACAGGACTTAGCCATAAGTTGCAACCCTGTCCTCTTGAGTGCACTGAAGGAAAATTTAGGAAATACATCCAAAATTAAAAATCCATAAATAAAGCAATGCATAACAACTATAAACACTTTACTGTTATAAATATTGGAACAGAATTACAATTTAGATATTACAGTTCCATGCCCCCATATGGATTAATAAGATACTTACTGGGAACTCCAGATACCAGACGTAATGGTCTCAGGACTCTAAATGCTCTCAGAGCTTTCACATCAAAACCAGCAGCTTTCCCTCCAATTGGGTTAGTCCCCTCTGCTTTGGTTGCTTGTTCTAAAATAGCACTAAAAAGCCTAGAAAAAGAAAAGAAGTCAATCACTGAAGAAAATGTGTACTTCATCATGCTATAGACAAACAGGCAGAATGCTGTGTGCCACAATTATCTACTATTATGCTGTGATAAATGCACTCCATTGTCTTCTAACTGCTAGAAATAAGAGAAATCATTGAAATCCATCAGTAAGTGTACATCTTTAATCAATAATCGCTTGGATTTACTCAAGGCAATAATTAACTCAAAACTTAGGGAGAACATGGGGAGACATCATGTACTGTTTGAACACAAGACAAAGCTGAGCACAATATAAGAGTTTGATGTGCTCATAAACAATGTCAAAAGATTTTTAAACTTATTAATTGTCTAGCTGTACTGATTTAAAAGTCTTAAGACCAGCGAGGAGTGCATTGGAAAAATCAAAGCGGGAGGTAATGAAAGCATGAATGACAGTTTCAGCAGCATTTGAAGTAAGATAGGGATGGAGGTGGGCAATAATGCAGCAGTAGAGAAAGGCAACAACAACAAATTATTTTGTATAGCGCGTTTCACAATTCAAGTTAAGGACTGGATGTGGGGTAGGAAGGATAACTGGAGATCGAACCTGATCCTAATGTAGAGTATACATTGGTAGTATGAGGTATAGGCAAAGAAGGTTCAAGAGTTATAATCCTGTAATAATCCTTGCGTTTGATATAGCGCCTTCTCAAATCTTCGAGACGTCTCAAAGCGCTTCACGGAATATACTGTAAAGTAATTTAACTATATGTTTTGTGGGCAAGATGAGGCAGTCAATTGCGCACAGCAGTGTCCCAAAAACAGTCAAGAATTGAGTGACCAAATTATTATTTTCTTTAATAATTCTTTCTGAACCTGAGTTCAGAATCTCAGGTGAAAAACATTGACGGGAGGCAAGGAGGATGGCTTCTGTCTTGTCCATGCTCAGCTGGAGAAAGTTGGAACTGATCCACGCTTTGATGACAGATAAATAGGCAGTCAGAACATTGTTAGGAGTGGTCTTATGATTAGAGGAGACAAAATAGATACGGATACAATCGACACAAGTGTGGAAGTTGACCGCATGTCTGGTAATGATAGCACCAAGTGGATGTATGTACATGAGAAAAAAGAGGGGGCCAAGAATAGAGGCTTGGGGGTACAACACAGTTGATTATCCGGGGTCAGGAGAAGAAAGGATTGGGGGAACAAAATGGCAGGGGTGAGTCAAGTAGAACTTGAAGCAGAAGAGGGCAGGTGCATGAGGGAGAGGTGGTTGAGGAAAATGGCATGGTTCACTGTCAAAAACAGCAAAGATTTTCAGGAGGACTTGAAGGCAGAGGGAGCCCACAGAGACAGAGGGATATCATTTATCACCTTGACAAGCGCTGTCACAGTGCTGTGAGCAAGTGGAAACTGGACTGGAGGGGCTTGAGATGGGACACCTTAGGACGTCCTCCCAACGTGAAAGGTTCTATACATATTTAATCTTGTTGTTGTTGTTGAGATGGGAGTTGGAGGTAAGGTGTGAATGAAATTGGATGGCAATAATGCATTCCAGGACTCTAGAAGGCAAGGGCAGGTTTGAATGGGCTGGAGGTGAGTGAAATTTGATGGATCAAGGTGGGTTTTTGAGGAGAGGGGTGATCAAAGTGCATGGGGCTAATGAAACAGCTGATATTCCATGGGGTGCAAAAGGTTTGCTACCCTGGAAGTTTCACCAACAGGAGCATGAAATCAAGATTGAATTTAAACATAAACAATAGTCATTTTTGCCAGCAGTGAAAAAAGAGTTACATAAACTCATTAAAGTCTTACTGAAGGGAATTAAATGGCAGCATGTTATAAATTTACATTTGTTAAGGAATGTAGAACGGAGATTTTTAACTCCATCACTGAATTGCAAAATGGCACAGCGTGCTGGGGGATACTGAATTTGGAATAATAATCAATGTATTTCAAAGTTACGCATTGTGTAAAAAATCTTTGTGATAGTTAACCTGAAAAGGCAATACACCTAATGCAAAATATATTGCATAGCAAACTTGGGCTTGGAATGGAAGTAAGTGCAGCCAATGACGAGCAGAAACAACAATTAAAAGTGAATCTCTATTTTTTTATTCACAGTTGAATAACCCAAAATGATGATCCTGGTCATATCATATATCTTGTGCATTTATCAAGAGCACTTTGAACATAATCCAGTGTTACTTCATGGAACAATTCTCAGGATTTTGTTTTTTCTTGTACTACGTACATGTTGAGTCCCAAAAGTTTAGTTACCAAATACAGTATTGTATTTGCATTACTGTACAGGAATAATTTTGCCTACAGTCTGGTCACTGCAACATGAGGAGGTTGTCTAGACCCAAGAGGCGTGCAGAGGAGATCCTCACTGTTTAGAGGAAGGAGCTACAAACAACAATTAGACAAACTGGGGCTCTTCAGTTTTGAGAAAAGACAAATTTTAAATGGGATTGAAACTTTGGAACTTTCTCCCTCAATCCCTCCAGTTTGCCCACTTCTTCCCCATTTTCAGATCACGCCTGAATACCTTCCTCTTCGACTGTGCTTACAGCTTACAGTCACCCCCCCCACCCCCCCCACCTACCCAGTGACAGGTTCTGCCATTGTTAAACGCTCCAAGACGCTACTCTGAGTGAAGGGCGCAATATAAATGCAAGTTGTGCAGCCGCGACCCGGATTTGCCACAGATCCACCTCAATGCTTGATCCTGGACTTTGCAAATGGGCTGGAAGAAACCTATCCTTTCATTCCCAGGAGCTCAGATCCATAAAGCACAACAGTTTGCAGACAAGTTTTATATGCTGCATGACTTCAAATTATAAGCACATGAGTTTGAAGGACTGCAATAAATTGGATATCTTACAATGATAAAAATGAAGTAACAATGATTCTTGCTGTGTTTCAGAATCGATTTTGAAGTGATTTTTCAAATGTTACTAATTGTAAAGATGAGAGTAGTTTGAGATTATTCTACAGGTGAACCAATTATAAATGAGAACCATTGCTTTTAACATTACAATTCCTTAAAACAAGCTCACCATTTTATTTCCTTGTACCAAAGTGTCTCTTAGCCCCGCCTTTTTAAAATACATTGAAATATTTTATTGAATAACACTTTATTTATGGGGGAAAAGGAGACCCAGGTGACCTTGCATCACATTTATATACTCAGTTTTGCAAAGGTGTCACTTAGCATCACATTTTAAAACTCAGTTGTATCAGTTAAAGCAAGATGATACTGTAGCCGAGTAGGAACAATTACTGCTCCAGTGATTGATCTGTACGTCCAAGTCATGCTGATAAGCCAAGCTGGTTGGTTGGCCATCAATAGTGTCCTGCAGTACTGCGGACCCACCTGACTCAGGAACCATTCACAAGATCACCACAGACTTGATTATGACATTTCATTGCCCAGAATGTCACCTTGTAGCTAGTTCACCTCAAGGGAGACTGCACTTAGATTCCCCCGCAGGAAGATAGTCACCAGTTAGCTGATAAATAGGTGATCAGGAAACTCTGAGGCTTGGGGCAACAGCTGCTGGAAGGTGTTACCGAGTGTTTGGGTTCATGGACACTTTTTAAATAGCTTGATATGCACCTTGATTTGTGTGCAGAGAGCTAAGTAGCTGCTGCTCGAACTCTGCACCTCCAACTGGTGCAATCATCACTCAGAGGGTAGGGTGTGTGTCTGAATCTGTAGGCAGCAGAATGGTGGGAATGCTTTTATGCATTTCATGTTAAGCTGTGTTGCTCACCAGGAAATTCAAAGGGATTTCCTTGTACCTGCTTTCCGTCTTGTGAGGACTCAAATCGGCACTTGTTGGATGTCAAATGTTCCTATATGTTCTCATTATAGGAGTGTTGTACAATGAAACCCGACAGGTGCTACGGTAAATCAGAAAAGGGGGCTCCACGAATGCCCACACGCACAGCATTTTGTAGGCCAAAAGTCTTTTAGAAAATGAACATTGTTAATTACAAATTGCAAATGAATTTAAAAATGAAAGTCATTATCCATAATTCAGTGTGACAAATACACAGACTATATATATGTGTACTCGATTTTAATTTAAATGGAGTGAAGTTTTTGAAGTGCTTCAACATCAAATGCAAAATGCAAAATATGTATTCTATTTGTTTACTTTATTAAACAGTGAAGATGAAGAATTTTTGAGGAGAATGTTCCAGCAACAATATGTGCCTAGTTTCAGAAACAGTAGCAGCAAATATTTTACAAAAATCTGTTGAGCTCATTAAGATCTTGTTCTACGCTATCAAGGAAGAAACCTGCAATTCTAAGCAGCTGGAATTCAAAATCTAATAGTGGCTTACATACTCTAGGTCTGATCTGGCACTAATGAGCTAAAGAAATTGGAAAAATCCATAAACTATTCTTAATAAGATCAGAAGGGAATTGTATAGAAGAATTCTGTTGCTGAGATCATGCATGTAACAGCTTTGGTAGGTAGTTGGCAAGTGGGAAGTGTTTCACGTTTATTTTTGAGAATTTGTGCCGCACTATGAATTTAAAATACCAGCAAAAGTGTAAAGCTTTCTGAGCTGACACGTGATGATTTTGCCAATACAATACAAAATTACATTTGTATAGCACTTTTCACATCGGGAAGAAGTCCCAAGGCGCTGGACAGCCAGGGATTTGGACCCGAGCAGGGTGGATGGCTTCAGGGAGGGTGGAGGGTAGAGAGGGTAGGAGGGTGGCCGAAGGTACGGTCGAAGAGGAGGGTCTTGAGACGCGCCTTGAAGGAGGCAAGGGAGGGAGTGAGGCAAAGGGAATGTGGGATGGAATCCCACAAGGTGGGGGCAGAGAGGCTGAAGGCCCGACCGCCAATGATGGGCCGGGCTGGATGGGGGACGTGGAGCAGGCCAGAGCCTGCTGAACAGAGGGAATGAACAGGTCGAATATGGGATTGGCAGGTCACAGAGGTAGGAAGGAGTAAGGCCATGGAGAGCCTTGAAGGCAAGGATGAGGATTTT